TAAAGAAATTTGAACCGATTTTGTTCCCCGTATAAAAAGTCGATTTTGCGCTAATAATTAGCTTGACTTAAATAGCTTTGGCATATTATTTTTTAATATCAGAGTAAAATTTTCTTAGGCAGAGTAAACTGGAAGACTCCTGGCAAATTTGAGTGAGAGATCAGTACGCGTTTAGAATAAATATAACGTTTACCCCGACCCCTTCTAGCGTTGCACTCCTCCACCTCGCACACAGCCGCGACCACGACGACGTCGACGACCAGCACGACCACGATCTTGAACTAGAAAGAGCGAAAGGGTATACATTAACACACGAATAGTAATAGAAATATTGAAGCTTACGTTGTTGTTCCAGTCTGTAGAGTCGTTCTTCCCACTGCTGTTGTTGTTGGGTCCTTTCGTCTCTTTCTGCTTGTATGACCTGCTGATGTTGAGTTTGTAGGTCTTCACGCAGAGCTTGCATGTAGGCATGCACCAGTTACAGTTAGCTGTAAAACTGTAACTGTCATAACTGCGTAACTGTTATAACTGTAACTGTCGTAACTGTATAACTGTAAAACTGTAACTGTCATAACTGTAACTGCTCATAACTGTAGACAAATATTCTAGAGTGAATTAGTCTTCTACGATTTGGAGACATTTTAGCAGTTACAGTTTTGACAGTTACAGTTATGACAGTTACAGTTTTCACAGTTAGCTGGTAAAAAACTGTAACTGGTGCATACCTACTTGCATGGCCTGTTGATGTTGAGTTTGCAGGCTTTGTATGGCCTGCTGATGTTGTTGTTGCTCCTGGTGTAACAGGAAATCGGCGAAGGGTGGAGCGGAGGGAACACCAGCATTGCCCGGGCTTATATTCTAAAGAAAGAAGAGATAAAGATGACTTTTTGAATTGAGAAACACCGAAAGAACGTATGTTAAAAACAATTTCTGCTTGACAACGGGTCAAGAACAACGGTTATCAATGTTGTATTGGTACATGCAAAAAACAATTTTTTCGAGCCTAGTTAGTTATTTCATGCAGAAGAATAATAAAAACTGAAGATGTAGCGTAGGTGCCCTCACCTCGTTGCCCAAGTTGGCGATGTTTTGTAAAGGTTGTTGCATGTTGGGAACTATATCTGAAAGAGCCGCTAAACAATAAGACTTAAGATATTAGAAAACACAATTAAGGTAACAAGCGGAGACGTAGGTTGGAAAAACAGTCCACATGCCCCTATAATTTAGCCTTAAAATACATACGCATCGAGTCCACGATCATCTGATAGAGAAGCCTACTTTTACTATATTGTGTTGCAGTAGTTTTTTCTTCTCGTCCTCTTTTCTGCACATCGTTCCAATATATTAAATTGAGAATACCCGAAATATTGCCATCCAATATGTAAATACCATTTATGACAAAGGAGACGATCAAAGAAAACAACAAAGAGACTGAACGATTGAATTCACCAATCAATTAGTGAGCGTGCTAGAGAACTGCGGAGTCGACTTTTTTTATTCCGATTCCAACTCCGACTCCGTTTTTTGCTTCTTTTTTAATTCCGATTCCGGCTCCGACTCCGGAAAATTCTTTTTTTTAATTCCGGTTCCAACTC